GAAGGGGATAAGAATACTTTTTATTTTCATAAATCAGTCCTTATCAAGATAAATAGATATAGAATTATTTCTTTGTTTGCGGAGGTTGGTGCCTAAATCTCTGAGCCTATCCTTCTTTGAAGCCATATAAAAAACTATTTCTCTGATTTGTTCTCTTCCTCTTTTGTCAGTCCCCCTGAGGTGGATGCTTCCCCCTCCCTTTTCCTGAGCATTCTTCCCTAATATCCATTGTCCATATCCCTGATCTTCATCAGATTTGGGGGGTTATTTGTAAAATGGGATCCTTCAAGGCCCCGGGGCCAGATGGGTATCATCCTTTTTTCTACAAAAAGTTTTGGGACACCATTAGCTTAGATCTTACTTCCTTTATTAGAAATTTTTTTGAAGAGAAAGTTATCCCTGCTGACATCAATGGAACCCTGATAGACATTATCCCTAAAGTGTCTGACCCTTACTCAATCACTTAGTTTAGACCTACCAGTCAATGTAACACTTTGTACAAGATTGTGACTAAGATCATTGCCAATAGACTTCATGGTTTCCTTCCCTATAGAATTTCCCCCAACCAAAATAGCTTCCTCCCTAGGAGGGGAACTGAGACAAATGTAATTGTGGTGAATGAAATTTTGCATTCCATGAAAAGAAAGGGAAGGGAAGAAGGGTTGGTTCATCCTTAAACTTGACTTGGAGAAAGCTTATGATAAGATTGAGTGGATTTTCTTGAGAAATGCCTTAGTCTTCTTTGGTTTAGATCCCTTTTCAATTGAGCTTATCATGTCTTAGCTTGTGTTTCTTCTGTCACTACTTCTATTCTTATGAATGGTATTCCTACCGAGGATTTTAATCCCTCTAGGGGTATTCGTCAAGGTGACCCCCTCTCTCCCTATGTGTTCATCATTTGTATGGAAATTCTTTCTCAGTTAATTTTTGGTGAGGTGGAGAGAAAGACTTGGTCTCCTTTTTGTGTAGGGAGGAAGCAAGTTCCCATTTCCCACCTCCTTTTTGCAGATGATATCCTTCTCTTTGGGGAGACCTCTCTTGAAAATATTCTCTCTCTAAAAGACACCCTTGATACCTTTTGTGCTTTCTCTGGTCAATCTATTAGTGTTCAAAAGAGTAGAGTCTTGATTTCTAGGAATACTTCTCAAAATGATAGGAATCTCTTTTGTGATGCTATGGGGTTTAGAGAGACTGATGATCTTAGTCCCTATCTAGATTTCCCAATTTCGAGCGGTAGACCTTCCAAGAATAAAGTTAAGTTCATTTCTGAAAAAATCCTTAAAAAACTTGATCTTTGGAAATCTTCAATGCTCTCCAAGGCTGGTAGGTTATGTCTAGTATCTGCCACTCTTTATACTCTTCCCAATTACTATATGCAATGTATGCTCCTTCCCATGTCTGTGTTGAATCATCTTAATAGCCCCTTGGAAAAGTTTTTATGGGGGAAGGGTGATAATTCAAAAGGTCTTCATCTGGTAGGTTGGGATAACATTGCTAGACCTAGAGAGAATGGGGGGTTGGGTATTAGGCACTTTAAAGCCTTAAATAAAGCCCATTTGCTGAAGCTTTGGTGGAGGATGTTGAACCAAGAAGGTAATCTAGTTGTTCAGATTCTTAAGGATAAGTACTCCAAGCCAAATAACCTTTTTCGAGCTTTCTCGTCTTTTGGTTCTCATTTGTGAAAAAACATGGGGAAGGTTTGGGATGTCTTTAAGGCTTGTATTCAATGGGGTGTGGGTAATTGGGTTGATATTTTTTCCTGGTCTAACAATTGGGTGGGGGCAGGTGCTCTTAGAAACCTTATCCATGGTCCCCTTCAAAGAGAGGAAGAAGATATTATGCTCGAGGACTGCATCTCTAATGGTGTTTGGGATTTCTCCAAGTTGTCTTTTGTTTTCCCCGAAGAGATTATCAATTCTTGTAGAAGTGTCCCTATCCCTGACTATAACCATGATTGTCAAGACTTTATTTTTTCAACTCTAACTTCTAAAGGAAAGTTCGATTTTAAAAAATCTTTGAATATTTTTAAAAAAGATAATGGAGTGTGCAGGAATTTAGATTGGATTTGGGATGTTAAGACAACCCCTAAAATCAGATTTTTCATTTGGCTTTGTTTTTTAAACAGATTACCTCATAAGGTAACCCTCTGTAAAAGATTAATCGCACCATCTGATGCTTGTGCTCACTGCCACAATGTGCCTGAGAATTCAATCCATATTCTCAAAGATTGTAACCAAGGTAAAAGAATATGGGAATTGCTTCAAATGCCACCCTCCTTCTTCTCCCTCCCTTTTCATGGTTGGCTTTTCTCCAACCTAACCCGTATACCTCGGACTACTGATGATATTGTCTTTCCTTGGCAAAATTCTTTCTCTTTCATTCTTTGGAAACTCTGGCTCAATCGAAATGATTGTATCTTTAACCAATCAAATCAATCTCGAGATCAAGCCCTTAGAGAGGCCCAAGCTTTAGCTTGAGAATTTCACACCTCTTTAAGGATATCCTTGGGTATTTCCACCTCTCCTTCTTCTGTCTCTTGTTGGCTACCTCCCTTGCAACCCAACTTTAAGCTTAATTATGATGTCTCCTTCACATCTGAAGGCGAATGGCTGGTATAGTAGGTGTGTTTCGTGATTTTTCAGGTTCGTGGGTGCTGGGTTTTTAGAAAAAGTGTCAAATCAAATCTGCCATGATGGGAGAGATGTTAGCAATCTCAGTTGGGCTAAAAATTTCAATTGAGAAAGGGTGGCACAGGCTAGAAATCTCATCAGATTCGAAACAAGTGGTGGAACAGATTCTTGGAGCAATGGTAGCAAAGGATCCTAATTTGTACATTCTCAAATCTTGCAAGGACCGACTTGAGAGGCTTCGTTCAGCAAAGCTATATCATGAAGGCAGGAGTTCTAACAAAGTGGCTAACCATCTAACAAAATTCTGTAGAAAGTCCCCGGATAGGGGCATTTTGATTGTAATCTTAGTTGACCCTCCAAACTATGCTCATGATGTATTATTGGAGGATAAACCTCCCTAACTTTTGTACTCTCTTGACTTTATTTTAATCTAATTTCTTGCTCCTGGCTTTGCATCAAAAAAAAAAATCCTACATGGCACATTACCTTCACCCACCTTCACACTATGGTCAAAGAAAATGTCTTTTTACTAACTATTTGTTTCCAACCCAACAAACATCAACCAAAAGGTTAAACTGATGGGTCTATTTCACTTGAAAGTAAAGGGTGAATGAGATTCAAACCCATGACCATTGTGTCATGTTGGCTCTTGATACCACGTTAGAGAACCAACTAACCAAAAGTTTAAGCTGAATATTGAGACGTAGGAATATGTTTTATACTTTGTCGGTTCACTACAAAAAAAACCAGTGAATTGCGACCGCCAGCACCGGTCGCAATTTTTTAGGAAAACGGTCGCTATTCACAATTGCGACCGTCACCGGTCGCAACTGCGCGGTCGTAATTTTAATGGTCGCAAAAAAAAAATTGCGGCCACTTGACGGTCGCAGATCAAATTGCGACCGTTTTTCGTATTTTCAACGATCGTTTTTTAAACTGGCGTAATTTGTTATTTACGACAGGCAAAGCGGTCGCAATTGCTGAATATTACGACCGGCTAAGACGATCGCAAAACTCGGGGATCTGCGACAGGCATTGACGGTCGCAATTTTCTGTAAATTACGATCGCCTGTGACGGTCACAAATTCCTGTGATCTGCGACAGGCCCTAACGGTCGCAAAAACATGGGATCTGCGACATGCTCTGACGGTCGCAATTTTCAGTAAATTACGACCGCCTAAGACGGTCGCAAATTCCTGTGATCTGTGACAGGCCCTGACGGTCACAAAAACATGGGATCTGCGACAGGTTAGATAAATGGTCGCAATTCCTCATAGAATTGCAACAGGGCAATTTATTATTATAATGCAATTTCAAATAATTACAATTTGCATTATCGATGCCATCCTAACCTGAACCTATAACCTGTTATCATGTGATTTAATTTCAAAATTAATATAAAATAAAACTAAAATGCATAATTCATATAGATAATAATATTAATAATTAAAAAGTCCAACTTCGAACAATACATACAATAATAATGTTCAAGTTAATAGTAATAGTAATTAGTTAGTAATAGTTTTATAAGCTTAACTTTAAAACTAAGTTAGGTCTATATGAATAAGTAATGGCCTATGTTCCTTCAAAAAATAGATAAGGCCAACATGTAACAATATAATACCAATTTCAGGCCTATATTCCCCAAAAAATAACGAAATGGCCTATATCCCCCCCCCCCAAAAAAAAAAAAAAAACCTAAGGCCTATATGGCATAATTATATAAAGAAATTGATATTAGTCGTGAAGTTATAGAAACAAAGTAAGAAAACGTGTTGATGTCAAATGCGTATCATACTCACTTTCAACCTAAACCACTCGAGGAATTCAGCTTCATGTTTAATCCACACATCTTCTTTGCGAATAGTGGGTTGCATTTGAACAATGTGGTCCTCAAACCCCTTTCCATATAACCAGAGAAAGTGTATTAATGAAGGTGGTCGACATTGGATACGATGTAAAATTCAATGAAATCTTAGTGACTGTGATAATTTACAAATTTAATACCTCTCATATGGTTCCAGAATACCGCTATTTCCCAAAACATATAAATGAGCACGTTGTGGTTCTTTTTCATCCAAATAGCGACGAAATCCACTAGTAGAAGCATGTCCATGATCAACCCTAAATAGTTCTGGAACACTATCATCCAAAGTGCTTTCAACATCATCATCAACATTTCGACCTAAGTCCCGTGTTTTGGTATCCACTCCTTGTTGGCAGTAGTTAGAGCAAAAGTACCCTATCTCTTCCGTTAGATAAGCATTGCATATTGAACCTTCCACACGAGCCTTATTGCCAATTTTACATTTCAAATGATTAAGGAACCTATAATAAAAATTATTGAATAAGTTATATGTTATGCAAACAACTATATGTGTATAAACGAAAATGGCAGCTATGAGTTTGTAGGAGCTTAAACCTCTCAAACGGATACATCCAACGATATTGGACAGGACCACATAACCTAGCTTCATAAGGCAAGTGAACTGGTAAGTGTTCCATAGAGTTGAAGAACGCTGGTGGAAATATCTTCTCGAGCTTACAAAGAATTTCTGCAATGTTATGTTCCAATCTTTCCATATCACTCAATTTGATGGTGGAACAACAAAGATCACGGAAGAAAAGACTAATCTCATTAATAGCTTTCCAAACATGGACCGGAGCAATTCCTTCAAAGCAACTGGCAACAATCTCTCCATGAAGACATGACAGTCGTGGCTCTTTAAACCATGAAGCTTACATGATTGTAAATCTACACATCTACTCAAATTAGAAGCATAACCATTGGGAAATTTCAAGTTCCTTACCCACTCGCATAACACTTTCTTTTGAGCCTTGTCGAGTGAGAATGGGGCTTTCGGCAAAGTGTCTTTGCCTCTCGCAATATTTGGCAATGTCATTTCTAGATGCTACTGTGTCTGGAGTATGTTTTTTCACATCCATCACTGTGTGAATTAGTTGGTCAAAGAAATTCTTTTCAATATGCATCACATCGAGGTTGTGGCGGAGGAGAAGAGTCTTCCAGTACGGTAGCTCCCAAAGAACGCTTTGCTTAAACCAACCTAGTTTCTTCTTTTTCAAGCTTGCAAGTGCTTCTGGTCCATCTGTTGCCTTAGCAAAGTGTTGAACTTGTTGCCATAGCTCATCGTCGGACATTATGTGAGGTGGTGTCCCCTTTTCAACCTTGTTCTTACAAAAAGCAATTTTGTTGTTTCGAAAAGGATGTTCGAGGGAAAGAAATTGTTGGTGACAATCAAACCAAGACATTTTACCACCATGTTCAAGCCAAAAAGCTTTTGATTTGTCCAAGCAATATGGACATGCTTTTTTACCAGCTGTTGCCCATCCAAAAAGCATACCATAGGCTGGAAAATCACTTATAGTCCACAAGATTGCTGCACGCAAATTGAAGTTTTTTCTTTGCGAGATGTCGTAAGTTGTTGCACTAACAACCCACATTTCTTTCAGTTCTTCAATTAACGGTTGCATATACACATCCAAGTTCCCCTTCGGATTTTTAGGACCAGGAACGAGCAAAGAAAGGAACATAAATGGTTTTTTCATGCACATCGATGGAGGCAAGTTATAAGGGGTCAGAATGACTGGCCAACATGAATACTGACCCCCAAACTTGCCATTAGGAGCAAACCCATCGGTACACATACCAAGTCTCACATTTCTAGGTTCAGATGCGAAATCGGGGAAGGATCTATCCAAGTGCTTCCAAGCTTCACTATCACTAGGATGCGCCATTGTGCCTTGGACTCTTGTAATTTTGGAATGCCAAGTCATTTCCTCCGCAACGTTCTTTGTTGCAAACAACCGTTGTAGCCTTGGAGTGATTGGAAAATAGATGAGTTCTTTTATTGGAACCAATGACCCCTTTGAAGTCCTCTTGTATCTATCCCTTTCGCACACTCTACACTTATCCAACTCAGCATCAGCTTTCCAAAATAACATACAACCCTTTGGGCATGCATGGATCTTCTTGTGCGGAAGCTCAAGTCCGTTAAGAATCTTCTTTGTATCATAGAATGTTTTCCCCATCTTATTATTGTCGGGAATCGCTTCGTTCAGTAATGAAGCAAACCCATCAACGCACCTATGGGGAAAATTGTATTCTGACTTCAAAGATACAATTCGAGATGCCATTTCTAGAACAGACATGGAGCTACCTTCGTATAGTGGTTGCTCGGCAGCCTTTAAAAGCTCTTGAAATGCTTTTGCTTGAGCATTTGGCTCTTCGTCTGAACCACTAGTACTATCGTCACCTGGTGGTTCATGATTACTCCCAAGAGCATCGAGAACCATTTCACGGTAAGTATTTGGTTGCTCTACACTTGATGTAGGGAACCCTTCACCATGAGAAACCCAATCATAGTAATCAGGTATAAACCCCTTTTTGTACAAATGGAGTTTTATTGTATTGGCATCATGAAGACGTCTATTCTTACATAACAGACAAGGGCATCTTACTTCATCTATGCCGGGCTCTCAGGATGAGCTTCACAACACCGTATGAATTGTTCAACACCATCCACAAACTCTGGCCTAAGTCTACGAGCATTACCGCCATCGTATCTATCGTACATCCACCAACGCTCTTTCCTTTTCATGGTAACAAATTCTACAACACTATGAAAAACAAATCACATTAATCATTCACACTGAACTTTTATTCATTACAATAATGGCATACGATACAATTAGAATCAAAATGATATCGAAAGGTCCTTATCATGTCTTGAACAGGAAAGCTGATTTCACATTCTTTATCAAGAGATTTAAACATATGTTATGTCACATGCTTCTAACTTGATAAATAATTATAATTTTTACAACATTTTTTCTAAGATACTTATTATCTATAATTTACAATATTGATTAAATTATTTATAACTTACACTAAAAAATTATATTTATACCATTTCAAAGTAAATTGATGTAACATTAATAAAATAATAGAAGCAATATGATTTGTATACTTAACAAAGATGGGAGTTTGATAACAAAAATCAAAATATAAAAATATTAAAAAAAAAAAACAACCACATGTAACCCTTCATGAAAAAACAAAATAATTTACTTTATAGAACCATAATACAAATTATTGTTCAAAAGATTATAATAACCCCTTAAACATACATATTTCTAATAAAGCCATTGTAATTCAATAAGAATCATTTTTTTTAAACGAACACTAAAATTATCCAACACATGAGTTCACACCATCCAATAGTCCTACATTCGACATAAAGCAAAATACATTTCTATTCCAACCAAAACACATCCAAGTTCTAGCTTACGCACAATAAAGCGTAAAAAATCCAACAATGAACCAAGCTATCAATAGCAAACTAAAATTATCCAACACATGAGATCACAACTCCATAAACAACTAACATAAATATGAATCATATTGCACAAGTAAAAGAAGTAGATAAATAAGAAGGGAAGAAAAACACACAGCGGAGGAGTTGACCAGAAAAGCAGAGGCGGCGACGAAGGTGGTCCTGGTATATGGTGGTGTTACACTTTTAGGCAGGGTATTTATAAAAAAATTTAAAATGAAAAAAGTAAATAACTACAGCCGACTTACCTAGTGGAGCGATGGAAAAAGACAGAAAAGGAGGAAGGACGGGCAGAAGAGGAATCTGGCGACGATGAAGCTGCAAAAGGGGTTAATTTGCGACTCACAATTAGCTATTTCAGATTAAATAACGAAATTAAAAAAAATCAACCAAAAGATCAAGACCGAGAACATAGCTTTAATCAAAAGTTTAAGAGTTAAATTTCACCATTTTTAACCAAAAATTAGGCGAAAAGGTTATTTATACTATTTATAAAAAAATATTCAACTATGTAACCTGATATTAAAGTAATTACAATGAGATAAACCCATGTATTAATACACATTTACGATAAGGTAGCTTATTTGGAATGCACATTTACCATGTCTAATTCTTAACTAGTCATTATGAATCTTGCATATTAGATAAAATCATGTACAAATTCAATCGTAAATCTCAAAGCAAACAAAGTTACATGGCTTATTTAATTGATTCAAGACAAAAATTTCATTACATCTAAACAATTTAATGTGATAGTGGCTCCCTTTCTAATCAAATTGCCACCCAAACAGTATAATTAAAACCAAACTTGAAATCCACTTCGACATTAGTTCCTTTCTACTCAAATTACACCAAAGCAAATCAATTCAATTTTAATACAATCACATTAATCATCAGACTACACCACAATCTATCAACAACAACATCAATGGAATTCAACATTTCATCATCAAAATATAAACAATTAAAAATGAAAGAAAAATTAAAATTGGTTACCATTTAACTCAAATTAAACCAAATAAGACTTCAGAATAACCATATTAACCCTAATTCAATCAAAAAATGAATCAAACCCAATTCCATAAATAAACTGCTTCATTAATCAATCCACAATAAGGTAATTAGTTCAGGAAAAGAAAGAGAGAGAGAGAAGGCCATAAACAGTAAATAAATTTTTTTAAAAAAAATTGCATGACTTTCCTGAGTACAGTCGACGGACGACGGAGGAAGCTAAGATAGAAGGAGGAAACCGGCGAATTTTTGCCCTGCAAACGTTGATTTGTGACCCAATTTTAGGGTTTTCGCCCAAATTAACAAAAATTCAAAACAAAATTAAATAAATAATGAAACCCATCGACTTACCTTGATACAATCGTCTGAAAGCAAAGGAGGACGGGCTGGAGGGGAATCCGGCGACGGTGGTCTGCATGGGGGTTGAATTGAGACCCAAAGTTAGGGTTTTCGAACAAATTAACTAAACTAATAAAATCAAAAACAAAAAAAAATAGAACGCCATACCTGTGTCTTGCGTCGCTGGCCGGAGACAGGCGTCGGTGGGAGTAACGGCGGAGCAGCGACCTTCGTGGTGTTCTCCCTCTTCCCCCTTCTTCTCTGCTTCAAATTTCCCCTTCTGAAAATATGAAAGCCCGACTTTGTTTTATTTTAGGATTTAGCGAAAAAAAAAAAAAAAAAATGTTACGACCGTCTCTACGACCGTTTTTTGGCCCGTCATAATTATTTTAAAAAAATTAATTCTAATAATTTTAACGACCATTATAACGGCCGCAAATTATTAAAAAACGGTCGCAATTAATTAAAATTACGACAGGCTAATAAACGGTCATAAATAATACTAATTGCGACCGTTTTTTGGCCCGTCGCAAGAAAACAGTCGTAATATCACCGAATTTTAGTAGTGGTTTATTCTACGAGACTCTTGTTGAACTTTGACCAATAAAAGAAAAATCGATTAAATTCGATTAAATGTAGATTTCTATGTTAGATGTAGGTTTAATGATTTATACTTAATGATTAAATCATATGTTATTTGTAGAAATCATACTTAATGATGAAATTACAAACAAATAACATAGAAATTTTTTTATGTTATTTGTTTGTAAATCTACATTTAATCATTAAAAGAAATTTTCTACATTTATGTTTATACTTTATCTATGTATACTTAATAATCAATAAAAGAAAAAAAATTTCTATGTTATTTGTTTGTAATTTCACTACATTTAATCATTAAATCATATAAAAAACCTTAATTTCACTACATTTAATCAATAAAAGAAAAAAATTATATTAAAAATAACATAGATAAAATACAACTATAACATATTATTATATTTAATTTTTATTTTGCATGTATAATGAAATGCAATATGAAATATAATAAAAAAGCCGATTAGAAAAATAAGTATATCAAAAATACATATTAGACCATATGAACAATTTAAAAATTCAATGATACATTAGTATCAAATTTCTTTTTTTTTTACCAAATTAAATAAGTATTTAAAATTATATTTTATACTTAATGAGCATGAATATTAGCCTCGATTTAATGATATTTAGTCAATTTTTTCATTTAAAATACGATAATACATGAAAGTATTAATCAAAATTTTTTTTTTAAAAAAAAGATAAAATTTTAATAGACATTTTAAAGATAAAACCTCAATTTTGTGAGAAACTAGCTAATAAAAAAATTGTTGTAAGAAACTACCTAATAAAAAAATAAAATGTTGTAATATACTACCTTTGACCAAAATTCCACCGTTGACTTAATTTTAGGATGTTGGTCCACCTTAGAACACCCCCCAAAACCACCGTGAGGGTTGGTTTTCAAGGTGGTAAGGTTATTTTTGGGCTGGTTGGAGGATATTCCGAGTTGGTGAGGGTAGATTAGTGCTTCGTGATGGTGGTTTTTAGGGTTAGAGGTAGGTGGTGGTTTTGGGGTTGAAAGATGGTTTAGATGTGGTGAAGACGATTTCAAGCAAGTTGTGTTAGTTTTGGGAATGAAAGCGATGATTTTGGGAGTGTTTTGAGGTCGATCAATGGTTAAAATTCGGTATGTTATAGGTAGTATTTTACAATATTTTACCTTTTTATTAGGTATTTTTTATAAAATTTTAACTTTATTAGTTAGTTTATTACAACATTTTTTTTATTAGGTAATTTCTCACAAAATATAGGTTTTATTAGGTAGTTTTTGACAAAAAGCCCAATTTTAATTAATCAAATTAAATTTTCTTACATGATTAAATGCATTGATATAAAGTGTGTATAATGTTATGCTATATTGTTAAACTCCCTTTATATTGTTATGTTAGTTGCAGCAGGACGATCACACCTCTGCTTGGCTTCGGGCAGTTCCTATTTCTGGATTGGGTTAGACGATGAACGTTAAGACATACAAATGTGTGCTGTGTTATCGGATGTAGGGGTGTACACCGGTCCAAAACCGGACCGGACCTGGACCGGACCTGTTTGGACCGGGGACCTGAATTGGGTAATTATGAGGACCGGGGACCGGACTTGAATTAACAGGTCCGGTTCCGGGCCAGACCTGAAAAATCAGGTTCGGTCCGGGTTTGGACCTGAATGGACCTGTTTTGTGTCTTTTTCGTTTTTTTTTTAATACAGAACCTGTTGGACCTGCATATGGACCTGCATATGGACCTGTTTTGTGATTTTTAGACCTGTTGCATAATTTAATAATTACATACAAACCAAAATTATCAATTACAAAACTACATAAAGTCTATAAAGTCCCGATTCTCAAACACCAAAAATACAAATAAGTCCACGAAAACTCAGTTTCAATTTTTCAGAGTTTGGTTTTCTTCTTTTTTTTTTTTTTTTTTTAATTACGATTTTCCCGGGTTTCAGGTCCGGACCTGAAAACCCCGGGTTTGGACCGGGTCCAGACCGGGACCGGGAACCTGGATTTTTAAGAACCGGGACCGGACCTGAATCAACAGGTCCGGGTCAGGTCCGGTCCGGTTCAGGTCGGTTCAGGTCCGGCTTCAGGTCCGGGCCAATTTTTGTACACCCCTAATCGGATGGGTGTTCCATTATTCTCTATCTCGACACCGTGCTCTGCTTGCTCTCGGGTTTTTACTGGGGATGTATTCGGAGACCATGCGGTGTCGTGTGCTGGCATTGTAGGGATTAAAACATCGGCACAATGTTGTTCGGGATGCATTTGTTGATATTTGCTACAGATCTAGGATTTCAGCAAGAAAGGAGGTTGACATAGGATTATCTGGAGGGAATGACGGGGCCCTCAGACATGCCGATGTGTTACTTTATTTATGGGATCGTGGTCGTGATGTATGTGTCGACTTCACAGGGTCTTCTCCTTTGACACAAACAGGGCTATCTGACTTTGTTCCGGGACGGGTTGTGGCTGATGCGGCTCATCAGAAGCGAGTTAAGTATGAAGGTTGTTGTCTGACGATTGGATATGGTTTCATTCCCTTCTCCTTTTCTTCGCTTGGGGATTTAGAGAAGGAGGTTGTTGCGTTGCTGAAGCGGATTAAGAGGTTCTCGACGACGCAAGACATTGGGGCTCGTGCTGCAGCTCATATATTCACTAGGGTAGGGTTTGCTATAGCTAGAGGAGTGGGGGCCCATATTGTATCTCGCGGCTTCCCACTAATTTATTGTAGGTTGATGACTTTTGTTTTTGAGATATAATAATAATAATAATAATAATAATAATAATAATAATAATAATAATAATAATAATAATAATAATAATAATAATAATAATAATAATAATATCAAGTACGAATCCAGTTGTCGAGCAATTGGATATGGCTTCCTTCCTTTCCCTTTCTCTTCTCTTGGGGAGTTAGAAAAGGACGTTGTTGCATTGTTGAAGCGAATATAAAAGTTCTCGAAGACTCATGATATTGGGGCGCGTGCTGCAACTCATATCTTTATTAGGATTGGCTTTTCTATAGCTAGAGGAGTGGGGGTCCAGATTGTATCTCGACTTCCCACTAATTGTTTATAATATAGGTTGTATAACTTTGTATGTTTTTGAGATATAATAATAATTATCGTAATAATAATAATAATAATAATAATAATAATAATAATAATAATAATAATAATAATAATAATAATAATAATAATTACCTTATCATCATCATCATCATCATCATCATCATCATCATTATTATTATTATTATTGTAGTACGAATCTATTGTTTAATAAATTCATCATTTTAAATATTGTTCATTATTAAAAGATATGGAAAATGGAGTAATAGTTATAAGGAAAAATTGCTAAAAGTAATACAACCTTTGTCCCATTCTTTTTTAATAATATAACCTTTTGATTATTTTGTAATAATACAACTTTTAAGGGTGTTCATTTTCCATATCTTTTAATTGAATTTTCGGTGAGTTTTGAGGTGGAAGAAGGGGACGGGGGATATTCCATCCTTCCTCATCCCCACCACCAATAACTCATCCGTCCCCTTTCCTAACCTCAAAGTCCACCGAAAATTTGATTTTATCTTGTTTAAAATGAACACCTCCTAAAGGTTGTATTATTACAAAATAATCCAAAGGTTGTATTATTAAAAAGGGGGGGGGGAATGTTGTACAAAAAGACTTGCGTGGACCTGGTCCACAATAATATTATTGTGGACCCGAGGTCTATACACACGCAACTGACTTTATATTGAACATAGTGACCATTATTTTTAACATAGTAACCTTATTTTTAACCTAGTAACCTTTATTAAAATTAATACAACGTTTAATATTATTGTAAACTTGAAATACGACGCTATTACCCTAATTTTAACATAGTGGCCTTTATTATTCATATTGATCACAATATAAAATATTTCATTACAAAAATAACCACTTAGGCCTATATATTACCAAAATGATTTTTATTTCAATATAGTGACCCTTTTTTAATTATAGTGACCCTTTTTTTTTTATTAATAAAACAACCATACTTTCTCTAATGTTAGTGGTCTACAATAAATTAGTATGAACCAGGTCCATTTAAGAATTTGTAAATGTTATATTATTTTTAGCAATTTTTCCTAGTTATAAAGGAATATATTTATTACAAAAGATACGTATATAAGATTTGAAATAATATTATAATAGTTTATTATACCAAAATTTCCAAAGCAGATTTTAGCAAAAAGGGAAGGAGTATTTTTGGAGGTAAAAAATACTACAATAGAAATTGACACATGTAATTCTTGACATCTGTATTATCTTATTGATTTGCGCCGAAAAAAAAAACCAACCTTTTAGTTACATGATCACAATTCACCATCCCTTAAATAATTGCATACTCCCCACATAATTTACTGATGCCTTATACTTGATGGACATGATAATGATAGAAAGTCATCATACCGCTCTAGAAAAAATTAAACGGCCCACACAATCAAGCTAACTCTTATCTTTCTTAAAAAATGCAACACTTGTACACCACATACATAGTATAATTCCTAATTTCATATATACAAAACATTTACATCTTGTGATTTTGTGTAAAGTTTCATTGTGCTATGGAAGAAGTAATCCGTTGTCCAGCCAACTACGTGCCTCTTTCGCCGATCAGCTTCCTCCGGCGATCCTCCGTTGTTTATAGAGACCGCCCTTCAATTGTTTACGGAGATGTGCAGTACACTTGGGGGGAGACTCTACAAAGGTGCACCAAGCTTGCTTCTGCTCTATCTCAGCTAGGCATCTCTCGTGGCAATGTGGTCAGTTTTCTTTACCTTGTTTTTACTTTTCGCATTTTTGACAACTTTATTGAATTATTGGATGTCGACTAATTTAGTCAAATCATTCATGTTAATGTTTAATTGTTTATTGTCGGATTTTTCCACCGTTACATAGAGTATGAAAAATTTATTAATAAGACTAACAACTTTCAAGAATAATATTGTATCAATAACATTGGGTATAAAACTTAAATCTATTGTACGTAGTACTTGTATGATTTTATGGAGTAATTAGAAATCTAGAGTTTATCGCACTAGGAATTACAAGTACAATTTTTAGATCTTTTTTATTTTCTCTTTTTTGTAATTTTCCTTAATTCCAGTTCATTGGTCCATCACTCCCATGCTATTTGCAAATAATTATGTATGCATGGTTTTTTTTTTTTTTTTTTTCTCTCTTAATTTTGAATTTTGTCTTACTAAAGTTCTGGTCCCTAAACGTGTCTTGCTTGATTCATCAAAATTATGAGAGATTCGTAACAGCTTAGCCTTGTGGAAAAAGTGAAAGGTGACAGAGGAGATATTTGGCCAATTGGAGGAGGAAAAAGATACGTAGTAGTTGATGAAAAACAAATGATAAATGTCCTTATACTTGTGTGCATTATTCACTGGCGTAGAAAATAGGTATGGGTCTGGCCGACACACAAACTAATTTGTATCTAAATAGAGGTGTCAAAAATCTACCTGAACTGACATATTGACTTGTTTAGATATAATAAATAAGAATAACTCAAATTTAAATATAAACTCAATCCGATCACACTTCACCAAACCCGACTTGAATATCTGAATTAACACCTCTATTTAAACTAATTAGGTATTAGCCCTACTAGGTCTAGCACAAATTGGTCTGATTCTAGGCCGAGTATGGTATGAGATGCACAATAATGAACCGTAATTAATAAATGGAAATAATTTCCAAATTTGGCATGAGCATTATTGGTTCGTTACGCCTTTTATTAAATAACAAATTTTTAAATTTTATTTAGGGGGTTTGTTAATTCGTTACGCCTTTTATTAAATAACAAACTTTTTAATTTTATTAAGGGGGTTTTCTATTAATTGAGTTGGGTCATGCATTAGATGCATGGGCTCATTTATGGAAAGTTAGTGTGAACTTGATCAATACGCTACTCTCTTCCTCGATGACTATTTCTAACATTTATTAGTCACGTAAAAAAAAGAAATAGGCTTCTAATTTAGGAAATGAGGGAATATGATACATTGCAACTTTTCTTGGACTCTTTTTAGACACAACATGACATAGGCTTGCACGGTTCGACCTGTGCCTAGCTTTACACTAGTGTCTAGTTTGGGCAAGTCATCCTCTCAAGCCTCAAAAAGTCATAATAAGTATGCAGAAGTTTAAAATTAATGTTTGAAGCTAGTTCAGTAACACCATGAATATCAACCAAGTGTGATGGTGTGAACCAATAAAGTTAGTCTGAAATGTAAAATTATATAAAAATGTCATGGAATAATGATCTTTTGGGTCTGCAGGTTGCAGCATTGCTTCCTAATGTTCCTGCAATATATGAGTTACACTTTGGGGTTCCAATGTCCAGTGGAATTTTGTGTACCCTGAACGTACGTCATGACGCTGCAATGGTATCAGTCTTACTTAAACATTCAGGGGCAAAACTCATTTTTGTAGATGAGCAATTCTTTGAAATAGCCAGCAATGCTATTCAGATTCTGTCCAAGAATACAGCAGCTAAAAACCTTCCACAGATTGTCTTAGTTCTCGATAAACAAGCAGTTGGAGCTGTAAATCAAACACATCTTTCTAGGAATAAGCTGGAGTATGAGAGTTTTCTTATGTCAGGTAAACTTGATTTTGAAGTTTACAGTCCGAAAGATGAATTAGAACCAATTTCATTGAACTACACCTCTGGAACAACCTCGAGGCCTAAAGGTGTCGTGTATAGTCATCGAGGTGCATACTTAAACTCGTTGGCTGCTGTCTTGTTGAATGAGATGCACTCACTGCCAGTCTACCTATGGACCGTCCCTATGTTTCATTGCAACGGGTGGTGCCTTACGTGGGGTGTCGCAGCACAAGGTGGCACGAATGTATGCCTGAGGAATGTGACTGCAAAGGGCATATTCAGTAATATTGCAGAACACAAAGTAACTCACATGGGAGGTGCACCTACAGTACTTACCATGATCATAAACTGTCCTGCTAATGATAAGAAGCCTCTTCCTGGCAAAGTCGCGGTGATGACAGGTGCTGCTCCACCTCCTCCGGAAGTGCTCTTCAAAATGGAAGATCTCGGGTTTTCTGTGACACATTCGTATGGGTTGACAGAGACCTATGGTCCAGGTACATTGGTTAATTCATATTGTAAATTTATAGGTATATATTAGGACAATAATCCTAGAAATTTTATTCAGTATTGGATCCAGAAAAACAGTTTCATCAGAAAAGATCAGTAAATGTTCAGTAGAAATCAAAACAAGTCCTGAAAAAACAGAATTTTTTGGAATTGCTATTGCAGGTACAGTTTGTGTATGGAAGCCAGAGTGGGATGCTTTGCCTCCTAATGAGAGAGCGAAACTCAAGTCCCGGCAAGGTGTGCATCACATTGGCCTAGAGGGCGTTGATGTGAAAGACCCAAAAACCATGAAGAGCGTGCCTGCTGATGGAAAGACAATCGGCGAGGTTATGCTGAGAGGAAACACTGTCATGACAGGGTACTTAAATGATGTTCAGGAAACTCAGGAGTCTTTTAAAGGAGGATGGTTTCATAGTGGGGACTTAGGAGTGATGCATTCAGATGGTTATATTCAGCTAAAAGACCGTTCTAAGGATATTATAATTTCAGGAGGCGAAAATATAAGCACAATTGAGGTAGAATCAGTAATATTCAGTCATCCTGCTGTTCTAGACGCGGCTGTTGTTGGCCGTCCTGATGATCACTGGGGCGAGACCCCCTGCGCATTTGTGCAGTTGAAGGATGGACATGATCAGGTTTCTGCTGCAGAAATAATTGGGTTCTGCAGAGATTCACTGCCTCATTATATGGCTCCTCGAACTGTTGTTTTCGGGGATTTACCAAAGACCTCAACTGGAAAGACACAGAAATTTGTTCTTAGAGAGAAAGCCAAGGCAATGGGGAGCCTTTCTCACAAAAACGCCAGCAAACTTTGAACAAAAGTCATTTGTCTATAGGTTTGCTTTCTAAGATTGTGTTAAATTATTTTAAGCTTTTGTAAGCAAACTTTTTCACATATCCTATAGTAAGTTTGGAGAATATTACTTACAACTTTTAAGGGTTGTTAAAATAAGGAGCCACAAACTAATATATGTTGTCAAGCATTACAAATACCGATCAATGTTTGATTTAGTCATGCATTCTTAAATTAATACTCGTAATATATTAAGAATTGTGTGAAATGCTAAATTACAAATTTACAATCTAAAGGATAGTATATATCATTATCCATTACTTTTCCATAAAGAAAAAATAAATGAAAGCAACTTAATTTTGTTAGCATTTGCTTAATTATTATTCATTCATCTGTATGAAATCTCACTCGCATTAAACATCAAGTGGAAATCTCTTTAAAGTGCTATTTTATGGATGTATGATGATCGTCAAACTAACAAGCTTAAAATTTCTATGTACTGTATAATTGTAAAAACAAAGTTTCAGTCAAAATCATGGTCTAAATTTTGATATTTGTGTATAATAATAGTTTCAATTTGAAGAGATTAAACTGATTGTGTTGCAAAGCTTGAGGGTGATGTGTGGTCCTTAGTTTGATTGTTTTATGCAATCAAAGAATGTACTTGTCTGATAAGTTCAAATACAAAATTTAAGTAGTTTTTATTCGGTTTTGAGATCTTTGGTAATAATAACGATCTTTAATTTGGTCCCCTTTAAATCATGTTCACAATTACTGCCAACAGGATTAGAGATTAAGGTCCGGTTCGACAAAGTGTAATTGCGAGGGTAGTTGTTAGCTGTCAACATCTTGAAGATCATGCAAATGAAAATAAGCATTGTTTCCATTGAAAACAATAAGGTCAAGATTATGACCTTTAACTGTGAGTTGAAGACTGGCTCGGTCCGTGTGAAGATGGTCGAATATCACCTGCAAATGACCTTTAACTATTATATCTCACCAATGTCACCATGCTTTAATGTTTGATGTACAATTTACATACTACTGACTTGTACCATTAGAAAAATATTTATGCCATTACAACATTTTATGGTACTATTTTACTTATGTTAATATTTAAAACTTAATTATCCTATTTGCTACGCCAATACTTCTCCCTTTATTCATCCACCAACCCCACTTCGGGCATGTTCACATTTACTTAATTTCATTTCAGTTCAGTTAAGCTCCAATCAGTTCAGTTCAATTCAGTTCAGTTCAAGTCCTAATTTCCCTCTCTCATAAAATATTCATTTCAGCTCAGTTCAGCTCTAATCAGTTCAGTTCAGCTCAGTTCAGTAAATGTATACTAGCCCTTCTTTTACTCCGCGTATAAATAAATAAATCAAAATACCCTAATATATATTTGGGTGTATTTAGAGTGGATCTAGGTGCATGAACCCTACCAAGAGAAAACTCTATTTCTCCAAGAATGCTTCCCCTTTCTCTGTGGATCTGATCTGTGGGTATTTTGATTTTTACCACCTTCAAATAACCAAATAATTGAATTTACCACCTCCAAAAAAAAAAGATTTACTTTACCACCTCATAAAAAAATTAAACATCAGTTTTACCACCAATCACCTCCAACTAACGGATTCCGTCCAAAAATCCGTTAGTGGGGCCTACCTTGCACACGTGTCACCATATTATTGGGTAAGCTTTAGAAAAAAAATTAAAAAAAACAAAAAAAAAATTAAAAAACCTCATCCATCAATTGGTGGCTGCTGCCACCGTCGAGACCCCACCACCGGACCGACTACGACCAGCCCCACCACCTGACCGCTACGACCAGCCCCCACCACCTAACCGCTACCAGCCACCGTCGGGACCCACAGCCACCACACCGATTTCGACCTCAAAACCCTAGCCACCACCTAACAGCTACGACCAACCCCACCACCTAACCGCTACCACCGCACCGCACACCACAGCCACGCCGATTTCGACCCCCTTTCCACCAATTTCCGACCTCAAAACCCTAGTCAACACCTAATAGCTACGACCAACCCACCACCTAACCGCTACCACCGCACCGCACACCACAGCCGCGCCAATTTCGACCCCCTTTCCACCAATTTCCGACCTCAAAACCCTAGTCAACACCTAATAGCTACGACCAACCCACCACCTAATCGCTACCACCGCACCGCACACCACAGCCGCACCGATTTCTACCCCTTTCCACCAAATTCCGACCTCAAAACCCTAGCCACCACCTAACAACTACGACCAACCCCACCACCATCCAAACCCAGACCAGAAACAACCGCCACCCAGACGCGAAACCACCCCGACTCAAAACCACCACCACCCACCAGAAACCACGCCAGCCAGACGCGAAACCATCGCGACTCGAAACCACCACCACCCAGACGCGAAACCCACACGAAATTCCGACCAACCGAGGTAGTTGATTTCGTTGCTGGTTGGTTGACATGGAAGATCGGGGAAGATGAAGAAGAAACGTCAAAAATGTGGGCCCTACTAACGGATTCATGGACGGAATCTGGTAGTTGGTGGTAAAATCGATTTTTTGGAAATTTTGGTGGTGGTAAAGTAAATCTTTTTTTTTTGGAGGTGGTAAATTCAATTATTTGGTTATTTGAAGGTGGTAAAAATCAAAATACCCAAATATAAAAGGGTAAAATTTGGGGTATTTATGCCTTTAAGATGTGGGCCCCAGACACTGATAGGCTGATTTGGACCATGTAGGATGTAGCAAATGGATTGCCTTATGGACAATTGAGTACTTGGACTTAGAGGCATGGAAAAGGTCCTATAGGACTTTTGGGCTTGCGGCCTATATGGATATTGGGCCATTAAATTGACTTGGCCCAAATAAAGTGATTTGGACCGTATACAAGCATTATTACAGTAAATTAAAAATCCTTAATCTCGGTTTTTTTTCCTCATATTTTAGCTAAATACATCATAATAGTCCGTCAATGGCCATGTTTGGTAAATGGCTTTTTGGTGGCTTTTTGGTTAGCTTTTGCCTTTTGGCTTTTTTATGAGGTCAAACAGCCAAAAAATGTGTTTGGTAATTGACTTTTTAACCAGTGAAAAAGCTGGCTTTTAAGCCAAAATGAAAAAGCTACTTTGAGTAGCTTTTTTGTTGGCTTTTAGCTTGTTGGCCCACAAATTATCTAATAAACATCCAACTACCAACAATTAATTTACCAAACACTTTTATAAACAGTCAACTTAACAGCCAATTTTAAAAGCCATTATAAACAGCCAAACATACCAGCTGGTCAAACAAGCTAAGTGAACCAGCCAACAGCCACTTGCCAAACAAGGCCAATGTCTACGTTCTCATCATGAATATAAGGTGTTTCAATTGAATTTTCTAAACATGCCGAATTGGGTTTGATTAGTACAGTTTCAATTTATGTATCTTTCATAGTAATACCTAATACCTATACCTAATTACTCTTTGCCTGAAATAAGGTGAGCTTGTTTTATACGTAGTATTAATGAGGATGGGTGAGTTGGGTATGACCGTTTGATTTGGTCTCAATTTTTTCTGATCTAATTTATGTATTGTTTGGTTGACAACATAAAATGTAGATATTGGAAATTCATGTGAATTGATAAGGTGAATAGTTTGGTTAACACACACACACAACAGCAACAACAACAACAACAACAACAACAACAACAGCAACAACAACAACAACAACAACAACAAAAGGAAGAGAGAGAAGTGAGAATTTATGTGAAATTAAACTTTCCACAAAACATGGAAAGTAAGAGTCTGTTCTTTTCAGCTTAATTTCAGTTCAATTCAGTTCAACTCCAAATAGTTCAGTTCAGTTCATAATATCCATCTCTCACAAACAATTCATTTCATCTCTATTCAGTTCAATTCAGTTCAGCTCCAATCAGTTCATTTTAGTTAAATTCAGCTCAATTTAGTAAATCAGAATAGACCCTAAATTACTATCCTCCCCTTAATAAACTAAAATTCATGGAAATTTTAGCTTTTTATATTGCCAAACAAACATAGTAGAATTTTTCCAAATCCCCTAGTGAAAATCCTAAGATAGTCATTCTTAAAGTGAGTAAAAATAATTTTAGTTAAAAGATGAGATGAAGAATGTCAACATGAACAAACATGTGAAATCAATATATAATCAATTTATTACAAGACAGTCCGTAACGATTATGTAATCAAACAATTGATTGTTTTGTTTAAAGAAGTTTTGTTAATAAAAATGCTAAAATGTTGACATAATCACATGGTCGAATTGGGCATTTTGCCGGTGCAAGTTGTCTAAGACTCAAGATTCAGAGGTCCAACTGACAACTGCCCCCTCTCATCATTGATTCGATTAACAATCCAAAAATGATACAGCAGTACTACTGATTCTATTCTTCCCAATCTACTGAAATTTTACATCGTCAACTATTCTTCGATTCAGATGGATTCTTTCTCCTTCCATTGGATCTTTCTTCTATTCTTTGCTTTCTTACCATTTTTGTTATCTGTTGTTTATGCTGAAGTTGACCCCAATTCCATTGTCACTCCCATCAATCGCGATCTCTATCGTTCCAGGTAAAAAAAAAAATTATCTTTTTTGGTTGCAATTTCAGTGAGATAGTTTGATTTGTAACCTTAATTTTGATGGGTTTTCGTCTAATTTTTGTGGGGTTTCTTCGAATTTTTCTGGGCTTATGATGATTTTGTATGATTTTTTTTAACAGTGCTGATTTGATGGAAGAGATTGAGGCATTAGTTCATCGTCATCCAAACAAGCTTAGTGTGAGTGTTTTTTGTCTATTTTTTTATTATTTAATGGTATGAATAGTTGGGATCAATGATTAGTTGTTTGTGATTTATGACAGATAGAAACTATGGAATCTGAAAATAAAGGGTATGAAGCACAAGTAGCTGTTGTAACTTACTGCAGGGATAGAAAGGAAGATGATAAATCAATGTTTAGAATCCTTCTTGTAAGTGTTACTCTACACTTATTAGAGTTATTTTTGTTGCCTTAATTGGTTAAGGGCGATGACGTAGACGAGATTTATAACACCCGGAAGACGATACGAACTAAGAATTTTGAAAATGTATAGCAGTTAATTTTGTTATTTTCTGGTTTAATTTATGCATCATTATGATTTTTTACTGGATCAATTGCTGGGTTGTTCAATGTTGATGTTGCTGTATAATTAAGTTAAGTGTAATACTGAAAAAAGAAATGAAATGCAATGTGAGTAAAATCTGTACTGCATTTATCAAGATTTAGATTTGTCTCAGATTGGTGATGGTGCTGTTTTTGACAGATGATTCCTTGTCTTCCAGACTTTTGGGCAGCACGGGAGGGAGCTCATTACATCCGAGCTTGCATTGCGAATCCTTTCTATTTTGAGTGAGGAAGAGTTTCTGCCCAAACTAGACCGGAAGTCTATGAACAGCACGCTTGACAAGCTTGTTATCAAGGTAACTTTCTCCTTATAACCTTCAAGTTACCGTAATTCTATATTATATTATAGGGAGGGAAATGGTGATTCTTTGCAAATGTACTCTCAACTTAATATTTGAAATAATTCACTTCTAAATGAGCAAATTCCTCATGTCAATTATTTCACATTGATTGACATTTCTGCAAACATATGCTACTTAGACTCAAGTGTTTCTTTGAGGATATGTTTGTCATGTTGAATTTGGTAATTATTAGCAAGGATGCAACTGGTTCTTTTTTGTTTCATTTGGCAACCAAAGTCACATCCTTATGACAATTCATGTTAGCTGACCGCAAATCATTTTGGCACTAAGGCTTTGTTGTTGTTATTGTTGGCAACCAAAGGTAGACACTAGGTATACAAATTTGAGTACATCGCATATAACAATTCATTGTCAGATAGTAGGCTAAAATGTCTCATCAAATAAATCAAATTTATTCTGTAGTGTATATAATATGGATACTTAGATGAGCTTATAATTTTGTACAAAGTTAACTTCTTTGTCTGCTACCATGGGCTCAATTCACCTTCAACTTGAAAAAAAATTCTGAGCAATTTCATTTTTTTTCCTAGAAAATGATATTTTGAAGACCCAACAAATTAACCTCAGCGGTTGAGTTTAAGTTGTTATCACCACCAATGGGCTGACCTGGCTTTTAAGACCTAAAAATCTAATTAATGTACTCTGTGGTCTTTGTCTGTATTATAGACCAGGTTATTTTGGTGGTCAGAATGAATATGTTGAGTCATTTAATTTTCTTTTTGCTTTAGCTTGGATTTCATGTCATGATCTGATGTAGAGAATCTAATACCTCTAATCATTATCTATTAGGTTGTGCCAATGGAAAATTTGAATGGCCGAAAACGTGTGGAGGCAGGAGATCTTTGTGAAAGGAGAAATGGTGTGTACATGGCTTTGTGTATCTTTTATGAAATCTTAATCTGGTGACTAACATGATGTGTACCCCTGATGGCCCTTAATGCTGATCTTGTTTGGGTGACAGGAAGAGGAGTTGATCTCAACCGCAACTGGAGTGTAGATTGGGGCAAAAAAGAGAAGGTTAGTCTCTCACATTGTGCTGAATCATTCTTTATCAATATTTTCAGGAGATAAATATAAAAAGGACAAGGTTTAATAAAGTCCATGTGGTTGTTGTGGTCTTTCTCAGTAATAGGTTAGGATGAAGGTTAGTAAGCTTTATGTGAGGGGAGTTCAGCATCTTTTTCCCATATTTTACACTTGAATGTAAGGGATATATTGGCTACTATGGTGAGTGTGGATTGGTTTAACATGAGGGAAAGAGATATTTTGTTTTATTGCCCCATCATGGTCCCTATTCAATGTCATTTATGTGATAATTGATTATACTTTGGTGATCTGACCCTATGGTTCTTCCTCCTGTTTGAGATGGGAGATTGCTTGTATGGTGTGTGATAATTGTTGCTTGTACTTCTCTTATTGTTTGCTTAGACCAGTGAAAATTTAATGCTTATTATGATATGAATGTATAGTGAGTGCTAAGTGAGAGCACATGTTAATTGTCTAGAAAAGTCATTGGTTTTTTGGATGAATGAGAGTGTGTTAAAGATTTGAAGCTTATGCGATGTTAAAGGCTTAGAGCACGAATTGGTTAGGGGAGATGAGTTTCGCTGCTTAGCAGATGTGATCACTCGGGCCTCATCAAGTAAATTCTAGGGCTCCAGGCTGGAGGTACCGAGGCACAGTTTGAAACCTTGGAATTATTTTTGAGATGAGATTTATTTTATATAACCTTCTTGGATTTTTAAGGAGATAAAGTTGGAGTTTTTTTTTTTTTTTCATTTGTAGAAAAGACTGTGATCCATGAATTAGAATTTCTGAACAAGGTTCAGTTTTGTGGAAAAGTATGCAAGTGTCTAATATTCTAATGCGTGTACATCTCTTGTTCCAATGTACATGAGATGGGTGTATGAATGAACCGTTGTCATTTTCTACTTGAAGGGAGTTAGAATCTCCTAGTGAATTGTTAATTGGCGCTCAACGTCTCAAGTAGGTGGCGTTTAAGCTGATGTGATTTGATGGAGATTGTTGTAAGTCTTGGCAGTGCAATAGCATTTTTATTATATTTTTTTTATCAGTAAATTCTAGGATTTTAATTTAGGTAGTAGCAAGAGCAGAAATCAGAAAACAAAACAAAGTGGCCCCTTTCTACCGTTATGCCTGTTCTCTCCATCCTTATTTAGCGACTCTCATTCTTTCCGTGCCACGTACATAGTCCTAGTGAGGGATCTTAGACAGTATTGAATGCGTACAGGGCTGATATTATGGTTTAACTTTAAAAGATTGGTTTGTGCTATATGCTGTAAAGTTCAATCTATTTCTTTTTAGACATGGTTGGAATGCTTTATCTTTTGCTTAAAGCTCTCCCTTTTTTAAAAAAAATTAATTATAAAATGGTTTCGTATTGGCTTTCTCATTTGCCAATGCACAACTTTGACCATCAAAAAGTTCAGTTATCTTTAAGTAAATAATAAAAAGTTTATATTTTGAAAAATACATCTAGCCAAATCCAACAATATTTCACCTTTTAATTTTGAGTAGAAAAACATGGTCAAGGAAAGACATGTATAGTGCAAAAGACCATATGGAACAATTTGAAAAACAGGGGGAGTAGTAGACAACACCCTGTAGTTCCCCCATTTCCGCTTGATTCATTCTGTATGTTAGATAAGAATGCAACAGACTAGTTGAGTTATACAGGATGTAAATTGAGAGTTGTCAACAGACTAACCTTCAGGGTTTGTGAGAATTATGATAGTGATAGGCAGTGATTAAAGGATGGCTGTCTATTGTTTTTTCAAGAAGTCAAGATAATGCAAAAAATGTTTTATCATGCCTTTCATATATGTTAGCAGCTGATATAGGCTAGTTATTGTCAGTAGGGAGGCAAATGGATTCAAGAGTAGAGACATAGAGAGGAATAAAGTTAGGTACCCATGTGGTGAAGAGAGAGAAAGAGAGAAACTACTTGCTCTTTTTAATTTTTTTTTTTTTTTTTTGTCTATGTAGTTGAACTACCTCTGTATCACTTGACCACTTGGGTTTTCTTTAACCATTTTACCTTTTGTTATTGGTTTTTTATAATAGGATTATGATCCTTATGAAAAAAATCCTGGAACTGCTCCTTTCAGCGAGCCAGAGAGCCAAATTATGCGGAAACTTGCTTTGTCGTTTGAGCCACATCTATGGGTTAATGTACATTCTGGAATGCAGGTAATGACATGTTTATTTATGTTTGATACTTTGCATTATACTCTGTAATTTAATTAAACTTGGAGATTAACTGATGTATTCCTGTAAGGGTCAAGCCGTCAAGGGCAGAACTGAAAAGCTGGTGGACCCCTTCCCCTATTTCATATATACTCTTACTGTAATAGACTAACACTAACAAGGGTAGTTTGGGAATTTTAGTACTTTTAGGTTAGTAGCCCTCATTCCTAACTAAGCCTTAGTATAAATAAGGGATAGTATATGCATTTGCGATCATGTGAATTATGAGGAAAAATGTTGAGAGTAGTAACCTCAAGTTACTAGGAGAGTGATAACCTAAAGTTATCAAGAGAGTGATAGCCTTAAGCTATTAATCTATCCTTTTGTATCTGATTTCAGCCATTATTAATCAAAGTATCAAGCTTTTATCTCTTAATTAGTCTTTAAATCAGAAAATACTAAGTCAGTCCATAACAATAACTTAGTGCTCTTTCTGATTTTTTGAAGTTCAACAATTGACTGGCGCATAGTTTTTGGCATTTTATTTTACTTTGTTAGAATAATAAATATTGCAACAATTACCATTTTAGGAAGTTTCATGAATATTGCCACATTTCCCTATTTGCACATGTTTTCTCTCTTTCTCTCTCTTCACCACATGGGTACCTAACTTTATTCCTCTCTATGTCTCTACTCTTCTTAAAATTCGTGTCCCATCCCAATGTTGCAATATTTGGGGAACGAAGGGAGTATGTTAGTAGGGTTTGGGTGGATTTGCATCTAGATACTCCTAGTCAACCTTTGAAGGTGAAACAAGCCTTAGATGGTTGGACATCGAAGTGGGTGTATTGCAAGTTTGAATCTTAATTATCAAGTGCTTGTGACAATTTATTCTCCATTACTATTTTATAGAAACAATTACAGAGTGACAGAATAACACAATATGTGGTTTTGTACCAAGCTGCTAAACACATGAATCATGAATGACAATAATTATACATCTTAAAGTATCATCTGATGTTTTGTTTTTTTTTTTTTTTTTTTTTTTTTTTTTTTTTTTTTTTTATCTTGTTTACATCAAGCTATTGTTTATTTATATCTTATATGTATTATTAACCAACCTTTTGTTTTCAGGCTTTATTCATGCCATATGACCACAGAAATACTACTCCGGATGGATCTTCTTCAGTTAAAATGAAAAAAATGGTTAATGATTTGAATTACCGTCACTTCCAAGGTCATTGCATGACTGGTTCAGGGGGAGGCTCTGTTGGGTAAGTTTCTTTTACCAAAGCTAAAATTAATTGTATTGATATTTATCTATAGCTCTTGTAAAAGTCTTTTCATTTCTGTTAATGGCTTAATGCACATTGATTCTATCAGTTGAATTTAGAGACACTTGGTTTTTGCCTAATATGTAGAAGCACATTTGCCCTTAGGCCCTTTTTTTAACAAGCCTTGAGATGATGATATATTGATATTATTTCATAGCTGCTCCCAATAATGAACTTGCATATTGTTCTTACTTCTTAGAGGTGAAGGAGAGAAAGGAATAGAAATTTTTGTTCATTGGTCTAGAATTCTAGATTGATATTAATCTTTTATATTTCATAGGATTCAAGACAAAAATAGGGAGAAGAATTCACAGTTTGTTCCTTGAGTCTAATGGGCTTTAATGTTTTGTAGTATAGGTGAATCAATGGATTGCCTGTCCATGGGCTGCACTTAAAGTGCAACTCACTTCGAAATCATCCTTTAAGCTTATCATCTGCTTTGTTTTTTAGGTACCTTGCACATGGCACCGCAACAGACTATATATACGATGTTGCAAAAGTTCCCATGGCTTTCACTTTCGAGGTTTGTGAGATACTTGTTTGATGTATTAAATTGATGAAGTGTCTTCATGCTACGGTTTTACAATTATTCAAATTTGCAGATCTATGGGGATGAGTCAGCTCCAGCAAAAGACTGCTTCAGAATGTTTAACCCAACAAATCTAACCACTTTTAAGGTATGATAGTTCTTTAACATTTTTTTTTAAATATTGTGGCCAGTGGGCTGGTCTGTGCAATATGGGTCAGGGGCTCAGGGCGGTTCTAGTACCAGTCTAAGAATTGACCGGGCTGAGACTGTGTCAGCTTTAAAGTAACAGGGTAAACGGCTCTGGCCGCCTGGACTACTGTTTCTACCACACAGGTGGGCTTGAAGCTTGGTTCTTGACCTATCTCACCTGGTGGACAAATCTATGCTGGGCTAGGCTGGTCCAACAATCCAACATGAGCAGCCCTCTGGTCATTCGTAGTACTTGGTTTCTTGTGTTATTTTACTGGTGTGACTGCTTGTTTTGTACAAATGTGATAAGCAAACCTGAAATCCTTATATTGATTTGTGCTTTGTAGGCTGTTCTTAATGACTGGTCGGCAGCATTCTTTACTTTGTTCAAGTTTGGGCCACAGCTGCTAGGTTTAGCAAACTCAGAGGAATCAGCTAAATGGGTATCAATTGATGATTATTTAGATGGATACTTGATGAGTAGACGCAATCGATATGGAAAGGAAATGGAGGTGTTTGAGCTTGGATTGCAGGAGATACGATCTTATTTTAGACTTTTCATGCTATCTTGCATTATTTTGATGTTCATGTTCTGTACTAGAATTTCAAAGAGCAAGCTTCAGAGGCCTAATGCTCCTGTCTTGCCTACCTGATGCTGTTGGCATAATTTTTGTTGGTAACGTAATATAATCCCATTGATTATGTATTCTTTTTAATGCGGTAGAGTTAATATCAACCAATCATAATTCCATTTTATTACTTCCAAGTCCGCACCAAATTATGCACACTATTTTACTTTTCTTTTTTGTCCAAAAATGTTGCAATCATGGAAAAAAGAAATACTCTATGAAGTATAAGTGACACTAAGGCCTAAGGGTCTATTCTCTTCAGATTATTTTCATTTCAGTTCAGTTTAATAAGTTAAGTTAAGTTAAGTTCGGTTCTTAATTTCCTTCTCTCATAAAATATTCAATTTATTTCAGCTCAACTCAGCTTCAATAAGTTAAGTTAAGTTAAGTTCATTCAATAAGAACAAACCCTTACTCATATGAATTGAAATTAGGGCATGTTCACATTTATTGAGCTGAACTGAACTGATTGGAGCTGAATTGAAGTGAACTGAACTTATTGGAGCTGAATTGAACAGAACTGATTGGAGCTGCACTGAATTGAACTGATTAGAGCTAAATTGAACTAAACTGAAACTTCTATAAATTAATCTGTGGTTGCATCAGGCTGTTTTCGAATGTCACACACTATGGGAATCTTCAAGACCTCAACGCAATCATTGCCTACACTATAAATACTACCTCGTTTTTATATTATTTAAAACTGTGAAATATTTTATGTGTCACAAATAATATCTTAAAAATAATTTGAATTGAGTTAAGATCATAATTGGGGTCCAACTTTGAAAAAATACTGTGGTTGGGGTCTAACTTTTTTTTTTTTTTTACTTAGTGTTCGGGGGTCTAGAATAGTTTTTCCGGTGAGATTTAATTAAATGTGTGCAAAAAAGTTAGACCCTTAATTAAAAAAAACTTGGACCCTTTTAGTTAACTAATAAATAAATAAAATAAAAAAATCTAAAAAAAACAAAAAAACAACCAATTAGAAAAATCGAAAAACAACCTCTAGTCGATTAAGTGCATGGAGTAGGGAGAAATTTGGTAACTTTGTGCAGGAAATGCAAGCTTGTAGATCCGAGATGGAAAGGTTGATGAAGGAGGAGCAATCCTAGGAAATTATTGCTCAAATGAGGGCAATTGATGATAGAATTGATGAATTGGAGAGGAGAGAAGAAATGTATTGGAAACAAAGAAGTAGACAAGAGTGGTTGAAAAATGAAGATAAAAACACTTCTTTTTTCCATACAAAGGCAAAGCAGAGACGTGAAAGAAATAGCATCAAAAAAATAAAAGATGAAGCAGGGAATATTTTTGAAGAGGAAGAGCAAATTACAGAAACCTTCGTTCAATATTTCTCAAATCTTTTTGCGAGTAGCAGCCACATTGAGATGGAACCTGGGATCGAAAAAGTGACTCCTAGGGGTGAAAGTTCGGTATTCGGTTTGGATTATACCCCAAACCGAATCCAAACCGAATTATTTCGGTTTTGGATTTTTGAAACCGAATCCAAACCGAATTTGGATTCAATCCAATCCAATCCAAACCGAAATAATTCGGTTTTGGATATTGAATCCAAACCGAACCGAATTTCTTTGGGCTTGTTTTTTTGGGCCTTGAATTCTAGGCTGTTATTGGACAAATAGTTTTGGGCCTTTTAAAGACCTAATTTTTGTACCTGTTCCTGAACAAAACATAAATTTTTAGACAAAGCTTCCACCACCACAATTAATGTCACGAATTACAACACTTAAGTTTGTCCAGCCAAAATAAAAATTACAGACAGTCAAACACAACAGTAATCTTAAACATAAAATGACAGTATGGCAGATTGGCAGCAGCTTCATTCAAATCTGGCATTAGCTTCTTCTTCTTGGCAGCGTACTCTTCATGCATTCAATCAAGCTCAACCAAGTTTGGGTTGATTGGATCAGTAATTTTCATATTCTTCAAGTCTAACATTCAAAAAATAAACAAGTTACATAATACATATGACATAATGAAAAAAAAAACACATGATAATTAATCATTATACTACAAAAATAAGGCTCATAAAGTAATGAATCTATCAAAAATAACATAAGTACTCACCAATTTGAACATAACAGAACAAAACATCACTATAAAGATTGAACAAAACATCACCAATTTGAATGGAATCAATTCGAACATAATAACCCAGAGATAAATCAAAATTCCCAATTTGAACATAATAAATTAATAACTCAATTTCACAATTCGAACATAATAAATTAATTTCCCAGAAATAACTCAAAATTCCTAATTCGAACATAATTCAAATTCCCAATTCAAAAAAACAAATGAAAGAGGAGTAAATAAAAAAATCCTTACCTTTGAGTGACTGAGAGAGGTGGTGGCGATAGAAGGTGGTGGCGCGTCGCGGATTGAGGGAGTACGAAGTCTACGAACACCAGATATGAAGAAAGGAACTGATATTCGACCAAGGAGACAATATACGGTGGCCGGAGTGAGATACGATGGTCGGAGTGAAGGAAATGAAGGGTTTTGGTGAGGAAGTAGAGGAATTGAGGAGTGAAGGTGGCCGAAAGTCAGAAAAATGAAGGAGAAAATTAGGGTTTGCTATATATATGTAGGGGAATTGGGCTGGAATCTATATGGGCTTTAAACATTTCGGTTTGGATTTCGGTTTTCGGTTTTTTAGGACCAGAACCGAATCCAAACCGAAATAATTCGGTTTCAGGATTTTGGAACCGAATCCAAACCGAAAACCGAAAAAACCGAACCGAATTTCTAGTTCAGTTTGGTTTGGATCGGTTTTCGGTTTTTATCCAAACTACTTTCACCCCTAGTGACTCCAATGGTTAGCGACATACAATGTAACACTTTAAACGCAGCGTTTACAGCCGAGGAAGTGCGAATTGCTTTATTCCAGATGCATCCGACGAAGGCCCCCGGGCCCGATGGTATGTACGCCATATTTTTTCAGAAATTTTGGGATATTGTGGGGGTGGATGTTGTAGATAAAGTGCTAAATATTTTGAATAATAATGGTGGCATAGGTTCTATTAATCAGACTCATATAGATTTAATTCAGAAAAAAAAAATGTGAGTCTCCTGTTGATTATAGACCTATTAGTTTGTGCAATGTAATATATAAAATTGTCACCAAAGTACTTGCTAACCGTTTAAAGTTAGTTCTACCTTTTATTATTCATGAGTCGCATAGTGGATTTGTTCCTGGGAGATTGATCACTGATAATGTTCTGGTTGCGTATGAGTGCTTCCACTACCTTAGAAAGAAGAAAACAGGGAAGAAAGGTTTCTTGAGGCTCAAACTTGATATGAGTAAAGCCTATGATAGAGTGGAGTGGGATTTCCTAGAAAAAATGATGCTAAAATTGGGTTTGCCGGGCCAATTTGTTGCTTTGATTATGAATTGTGTCAGCTCTACGGAGTTTGATGTTTTGGTGAATGGGCAGTCGTCAAGACGATTTAAGCCTAGTAGGGGGCTTAGACAAGGTGATCCTCTATCACCGTTCTTTTTTATCATGTGTGCGAAAGGCTTGTCGACTCTCCTTCGTGACGCAGAGAGTAAGAAACTCCTCCATGGTGTGAAAATCGGAAGGAATGGAACCTATATGTTTCCCATCTTTTCTCTGCGGATGATAGCCTTTTATTTGTGAGAGCAACGGAGGAAGAGATTGAGAATGTTTTGAATATCCTCTCTACTTATGAGTTAGCTTCGGGACAGAAACTGAATATGGACAAATCGGAGGTGTCTTTTAGCCGAAATATTGAGCATGAACGGAAAAATATGCTTCAGATGAATTTATCTTTTAAGGCCGTCGAAGGACATGACAAGTATCTTGGTTTGCCAACTTACATTGGTGGATCGAAGAAACAAGTGTTCCAAAATATTCAGGATCGTGTTTGGAAAAAACTCAAAGGGTGGAAAGAATTTTTTTTGTCTCAAGCGGGTAAAGAGGTATTGATTAAATCAATTGCTCAAGCGATTCCAACTTATGCAATGCAATGTTTTGCTCTTCCGGCTAGTATACTTAATGAAATTGAGAGGTTATATCGAATTTTCTGTTGGGGACAAAAAGCTGAACAAATAAAGGAAGTTGTGTTGGATTGCGTGAGAAAAGTTATATACCTCAAAAAAAGATGGAGGGCTCAGGTTTAGAAATATGAGAAATTTCAATAGTGCTCTCTTAATTAGAAAAACAAGCTAGGCATATTATCTCGAATCCGACTTCTCTAGCGGCAAGAGTTCTTAAGGGCAAGTATTTTCCTCACTCAACACTTTTTGATGCAAAGGTGTGTCCTAATGCAAGCTATACTTGGAGGTCGATCTTGGGAGCGCGAAATGTGTTAATGAAGGGTGTTAGAAAGGCTGTGGGAAACGTCTCTTCCATCATTATTTGGCATGATCCTTGGGTGCCAAATCTCCCTGGCATTAAGGTTTCCTCGACTCAGGGTGAGATGGATGGAGGTCCTGCTACTGTGCGTGATTTGTGGATTGATAAATCGTGGAATTTGGAGGCTTTAAACGCTCTTTTCTCTCCAGTAGAAATTGCTGAAATTTGTAAAATTCCTATTCCTCTATATGACCAAGTGGATGCGTGGGTTTGGCATCATACAAAGGATGGGCGATACTCGGTTAGAAGTGCCTATAATTTGATCACGATTGAGCAAAAACAAAACAAGGCTTCTTCTTCGAGTGAGTCCTGCAATTTTGATGGAATGTTATTTGGCATGCTGAGGTCCCCCGAAAGTGAAGTTTTTCGCGTGGAGAGCTATCAAGGGTGATGTGGAATCCCGTCAGAGTCTGATTCAACGAGGTATGGAAATCGATCCTATATATCCTTTGTGTGGGATTGAGAATGAAAGTGTATTGCATATGCTCAGCTTGTGTGAAGACTCAAAAAGGCTCTTGTATCTCTCCCCTTTAAGATTGGAGGTGGAGCGATACGAAGGGGATTCGTTTTAGGAGTGGTGTGTTGCTGTTCGTAAAAGACATAAGGATGGAGAGTGGTGGAATTTATTTTCCTGTTTGCTTTGGGGATTATGGCTTTGTAGAAATGCATGGGTGTTTGAGGGGAGAAAAATGGATATAGGTAAGGTTACTCACAAAGCTATGGGCATGGCAGGGGAGTATGCTCTGGCTCAGAGTGCTCCTAGTGCGAGTAATGTAAGACCGAAGCTGAATGAGATATGGAAACCTCCCTCACAAGGGGTGATTAAGGTTAACTCGGATGCTTTAATTTTCAAACCGAACGGAGTGGGATTAGGGGGTGTTATGACTTATGAGAGATATCGTGGGTGATGTTGTTGCCTCAACCTGCTTGCCCCTCCATGGTAATTTTGAAGTCGATATCGCTGAAGCTCTTGCTATGAGACACGCCTTAAGTGTAGCCATCGATTTGGGTTTTTGGAAAATATGTTTGGAAACAGACAGCCTCAAGCTTCACAACCACTTGATCAAGCGATGTTCACTTGCTACTGCATTTGGATCAATAGTCCATGATATACTCCAGCTTTCTAGTAGTTGTATTTCTTGTCATTTTACTTTTGTTAAAAGGAACGGCAACCGAGTGGCTCATGCTCTTGCCAAACTTTATTCTTCCTTTGACTCACTTCGAGTGTGGATGGATGAAGTTCCTTTGAGTATTTCTGATGTTGTAATGGCTGACTTGAGCCTTTTAATTGATTAATAAAGCTGGGTTGATCGGTTCTCGTCAAAAAAATATATATTATTATTTTTTTCTTCTAAATAATCTAGTATTTTTTTTAGTTATAGTAATATTATTTCCTGTATAATATTTTTTATTATTAATAACAATTTAACTTTGTTTTTTTTTTAATTATTATTATTGGTAGTTAAGCACACTTTTAAAATACATATTTAGCTAATTAGTTCTTTAATAATAATTCATGCTTCATTTCAATAAATATGTAATTTAGAAGAAAATAAATAAATTTTGTTATATTTCACAATACTAACAACTAAATTAACAGTAAAATCTTTTAATATAACTATGATTTGAAACAAATTTAATAAAATATGATTCCTATTATATAAACTTAGATTTTAATAGTAAAAAAAAATGCATAAATGACATATCCTGTTATTTAAAAATAAAAAAAAAAATAAAAAAAATTGGAGGTTTTTTCGCACCCCCTTATTTTTAGAGAATTCAGATACAGGCATACAACAAACAAATAAAAATTATTTTGGAAATAACTATTATGATATTAATTATTATTTTATGAAAAAAATTTATTTTCCTAAAGTACTAAAACTTACAAACTATTACTAAAATATTTTATCGTTTAAAATAAAACCAGATTATTTTTGTATGATTTTAGTTTAATAAAAGTGTTTTTGTCACCCATAAAAAAGGTATTTTAGTCTTCTTTATTTAAAAAAAAAAAAAGATGTACGTTTTAGTCTAATGAAAAAAAAGCATTTTTTATTTTTAAAAAATAAGCGTCTAAATCATTCATAGTAATTTAAAGAATCAGATTATTTTGGAAAAGAGGTTTATGATTTTAACATTGTATCGGCTTTTATTATTAATTAGTTAATTTGGAATTTTTGTATAAATTTATTAGCTATTTCTATAATTAAATTCATTAAGAGTATAAATTTATTAGATAAGGGGTCTAACTTTTTAAATAGGGTCTAGTTTTTTTTTTTATTTAATTTTTAGCTAAGATTAACGGTGAGTTAAAGTAAGGTTAACGGTGAGTTGAACTAAGGTTAACTAACCAGAATTTCTAACCAAGACCCCAAAAACAAAGTTAACAAAAAAAAAAAAAAAAACTTGAACCTCAAATACAATATTTATCAAAAAGTTGGACCGTATTTGTTATTTTAACTCGATATAAATTAGTAATTTATCAACATTATATGAGTGACGAAGAATTAAAAAGGGGAAAATTCTTGGTCTCTACCTACTTGAGACCAAGTTGGTCTCTACCAAATAAAAAATAAAAAAAAAATAAAAAAAAGAGCCATAAATTGGAAAAGGATAATACAAACAAAATTACTGAAAGAAAGCAAAGCATAATACAACACCTGGGGGGACCATTACTTTTTCCCTTGTAGAGCATTGCCACTAATGGGCATTTTTTTGGTTGCCCAATCTCTCTCTCTAACCACTTTCTCACTCCTCCTCCCCATGGGCATTTTCTTGGTCATTTTTTTTTCTACACCAATGGTCAAAAATTATAATCCCCACCATTCTCTCTCCTATTTTTAACCCTATACCCCACCAATATTTATCTCTCCTACACATCATTAAATTTGTAATTTAGTATTTCTTAATTTTATTGTTAACAAAATTTTGTATTGATTAAATTATTTATGAGTACAATATTAATTATTTTTATTATTAATTTATGCGAATTTTATTATTTAATAAAATAATAATATTTATTCTTAACTAAATTTTTTTATTGATTAAATTATTTATTAGTACAATATTAATTATTTTTATAATTATTTTATGCGAAATTTCATTTTTCATTAGTACAACATTAACGATTACAACATTGGAACATAATGATCGTACACCTATCATACAAACTAAATAAATTAACGATTACACAACTATTTATTCATTTGTACGACCATATTTTTGCCAAATATGCTCAACTAAATCATCTTTCAAAGAAAAATGGGTTTGGCTATCACGCAGGGTAATTCTTCTTTGAATATTCGCGTCCAAATCAACGTTTGGTGGTCGGCCAACGTCAAATTCGAAAGGCTCGTTGTTATTCACTGTGGCACTTGTACTCGGTCCGGACCTTGCTCTATGAAGCTGAGGGCGATCTTCTTCATAATACCTTCTCAAAACTTCGGCACGAGTGTAATTGTGTCGTTCATCCTCGAAAATCATGTTGTGCATAATGATACAAGCTTTCATTATGTCGCTCAAAATGTCTTCGTCGAAAACAAGTGAGGGTTGTCGTAATATGGCAAACCTAGCCTGTAGAACTCCAAACGCACGTTCAACGTCTTTCCGAGCTGCAGCTTGTTTATCTGCAAATAACTTGTCCTTCTGGAGTTGAGGATATGTGATACCTTGGATAAATGTTGCCCAGTTCGGATATATACCATCTGTTAAGTAGTATCCCATGTTGTACTCATGGTCGTTTACCATAAAACTAATTGGTGGTGCCCGACCTTTCAAAACATCGTCAAACACCGGAGAGCGGTATAGGACGTTAAGATCATTACAAGAGCCGGGTATTCCAAAAAATGCATGCCAAATCCATAAGTCTTGATCCGCAACAGCTTCCAGGATAAGGGTTGCGTTCTTGCTACGACCTGCGTATTGTGCTTTCCAAGCCATAGGATAGTTCTTCCACTCCCAGTGCATGCAGTCGATGCTACCGATCATGCCCGGGAATCCACGCATTTCATTTTGGTGAAGGATTCTCCTTAAATCTTCATTTGTTGGACTTCTTAAGTACTCGACCTCAAAATGCTTGATCACCCCTTGAGTAAAATGTTGCATTGATTTTCTAGATGTTGTTTGACCTATGCGTATGTATTCATCTACGGCATCCGGAGCAACACCGTACGCTAACATTCTTATTGCAGCGGTGCATTTCTGCAGAGGTGATAAGACAAGCCTACCAGCTGCATTCCTACGCTGCTGGAAGAATGGATCACCCTCAACCACTTTATTCATAATCCGACAGAATAAAGGTTTGTGCATTCGAAATCGACGACGGAACTGATTTTCGGAATACACAGAATTTATTGCGAAGTAATCATTGTACAATTGCAAATGCCCTTTCTCCCTTTCTCTATCTCCCCTACGCTGCGGGACAGTTTCATCTTCATTTACAATTTCGATCTCGGATGGAGGTGGTTGAGGAAGCATTATGTTAGGTAAGTGATTTGTGACAAATTTGTTAACTAGATTATCAAATTCCGCATATTGATCTGAATCAGAAGAATTTGAGCTTGAGGTTGAGCTTATGGAAAACATTTTCTGTGTTTGGTTTTTGAATGTTTTGGTGTTGTGGATCAATTTATGGATTTCACACCTTTAAATAGGAAAGCTTTTCAGTGCATGTCCTTCAGCTGAGTGTGAAAAGACTACTCAATGTATAGTAAAAACAAAATACATGACTACTCAATTCTTAATAATCAATACCAATGCTTGTCATACGGTTCAAGTTATGTATGAAATGACTACTCAATGCTTGTATAAAACAAAAACTACAATTGGACTTGACTACTTTTTGGGATTTGACAGTTCAATGGTTGATAAAACCAACCACTTGACTCATAATTGTATAAGACAAATCTACACACACTAGCTAGTACTTGACTCATAATTGAACAAAATATATGAAAATGTAATATAAATTGATTAATTTTTGGATAAAATTAATAATAAAAATTAATTCATTGTAACATAATAAACAAAATACCTTTTATTTCATTGCAACATAACTTGAAATCATAATGCATAATAAACTACTCTACTTTCCACCATATACTTCTTGAATTAGTTCCTCCTTCCACGCTTCTTCAGCTGGTGTAAGTGGCGTCGTTTTTGACATAATGGCTTGCAACATATCAAATTTCATCTTCTTCTCTTGTAATTCGACTTGTTTGTTTTTCCTCTTTTCCTTTTCCCTTTCAAGGTCCAACCTTTGTTGCCGTAAATTTGCCTCAAAGCTTCTAACTTCAGTACAAGCCTGTATCTGTTCACCAATACTTAAAATTGCACTATCATGAGCAATAGCTTTTCCCTTACGCTTAGCCTTTGCTTTTTTTACCCCGTCGGGTCTGGGTATACCTCCTGATGAAAACCCACCAACGGGAACATCTCCTTCAGCTTCACTGTCAGTTCTCGATCTCTTTCCACTTCCACTGCTATCCTCGGTGTCCCCTTCCGAACGCAATTGAGAATCTTGTCGTTCCTTTAGTGACAATGCCCATCTAATCTTCGGCCTCCACTTTGGGTCATTCTTTATCATTTCCCAAGCGTGGGGAAAAACAAAATTGTGTGGTGGTTTGGATGATATATGGAACAACTTCGAGGCCTTTTGAATTCGATCAACTTCGTTGAATCCACTTCCAGTTAACGGACCCGCTTCATCGTAACAACTTGTCCATAACAGTACATCTGTCGCCATCCTTCTCCAACGGTTCTCCAAACTCTTCGCATTTCTGGGTGGTAGTATTTCTGGCTGCATAGCTTGAACCATGTCGTACACCACAGATATTTGTCGCCAAAGTTTAGCTGCTTTCATGCTCGTACCCACTATCGCATTTTCACTGTATTTTAAATATAGCCCAATAAGAGCTTCATCTTTTGCGACTGGCCAAATACGACTAGCTTTAGCGACTCGTTGGTTGGAACCCACCGGCATTCTTTGAGTCGACGGAGGGTATTGAGGTGTCTAAGGCACATTTTCTTCTTGGCTATCATCGTACTGAGAGTTACTTCCTTGGTAGACAGGAGGTGATTGCTCGTAATCAGTGTTTTCAGTTGGAATTTGTGGAGGTATTTGTTGTTGTGGAGGATTTTGCTGAGAGGTGTTGCTCATTCTTTGTAGGAAAAGTTGAAATTGAGGTTGATTCATGAAATTCTCATCTAAATCATTACAATTGTGAGAAAGTAGTGAGTAAAAGGGATTATTGGGATCCATATCTATTTTTTTTTATTAATTTCAAAAACTAACACAATAATAACAATAATAATCATAATAACACAAATAAAAATAATAATAATAATAATATTAATAACAAAAATAATAATAACAACAATAATAATATTAATAACAATACTACTAAAATAATAACAATAATAATTATAATTCCAATAATAATAATAATAATAATAATAATAATTTTAATAATAATAATAATAATAATATTTATTTTAATAATAATAATAATAATAATATTATTATTATTATTATTATTAAAATAAATATTATTATTATTATTAAAAGGATGACTAATTATGAGGGAGAAATTGAGAGAAAATGTAAATACAACAAATTTATGTGAATTTTGGAAATATGAAAATATAGGCAAAATGGGTCTTTATTTGTAGGGAATTCTTTTTTCTAGCCGTTGGTAATTTTTTTTTAATTTTAATTTTAAAAGCACAAAATAACGGTTACAAAAATATAACCGTTGCAATAATAAGGAATTTCCTGATTAGTCCAAGCTCCCTGACAGGACACGTGTCAGCGCCTGATTGGGCGTGCTGACGCGTCTGTCAGGGGTGCATTTAGTATTTTTTTTTGCTTTCCTTTCCTCAAAACGCTGCGTTTTGAGTTGAAGCGCAGCACACGCTTCCTCAAAACGCTGCGTTTTGAGGCGTGGTGAGCAAAAAAAAACTCTATTGCCAGCGTCGCACGTGGGGCCCACTCATTCTTGGTCTGATTTTAATTTTGCCCAAACTTTGATCAAAAAATGTTTTGCCCATGGGCATTTTTTATTTAGCCCATTGATGGGGACTTTTATTTTTGGATTAAAACCCAAAAACTCCCCATGGACATTTTTCTCCCCATTGGTGAGAGTGCTCGTACGAAAGATTCCAACCTCAAATTTGGAGAAGCGTTTTAACATATTCAAAGATAATGTTAAGTATATAGAGAATTTTAATAGTGCTACAATAGCAAACCAAAAGTTGTACACATTAGGCATAAATGCCTTTGCTGATTTATCGACTGAGGAGTTTGTAGCTACTCATACTGGTTCAAGACCTCATTCGCCTTCACGAATCAAGTCTGGTGGTGACTTGACAACCACCAGCTTTCGATTCGAAAACCTCACTGATATTCCTTTATACAAGGATTGGAGGGATTATGGAGCCGTCACTCCCATAAAAGACCAAGGGGATTGTGGTAAGGAGTAAAGAACTTTCAATTAACTTTTACTTTCATTAGTCATATTTTTGTTCAACTTTCATTTTCACTGTATCTCTAACTTGTCTTAATCTAATTATGATCAATAACGTCTTTTGTTATACGTAGTAATTATTAAGCTTTCCAAATGTTTTCTTTTCTAACATATTATGTCATAAAAGTCGTCTCATTTTTTCACATTCAATCATTCTTAGAAGAATACACTTGTATACACAACTTGCATGGTTTGTTATTAGGGTAATCTTATTGGTGAGTTTTGAGTGGAGTCTTGACTCAATATTCACATACATGATTTAGTGTTTTTTTGCAATAAAATGGTGCAAGACTATAGTTAGTCTTGAAATGAGTTTTGAACTTACAAAATAAATAAAGAGGAGGCCCAAGTTAATCTTTGAAATTAACATTCCAATTTATCTTCTCTAACAACTTTATGCATTGTCTTCTGTGCCACTTTATTATTTCAATTTTATTATTTTAAAAACAAAGGAAAAACAATACTTTCTCTGTTTTTTAGTTGACAAGTTTCTTTAGTCATATTTACTAATGCACAAATTCAATCATTAATATCTTCAATTACCAATAAACAAAAATTATAATAAATTGATATTTTGAAAATATACATTGTGATGAATCTAACAAGATTCCACTTGACTATATTTTTGTTCATATGTAAATCACAAAAAATAGTCAAAGGGACGTGTGTATATAGTGCTAAAGTCAAAACGTGTCAAGACTGTCAACTAATAAAAAATGGAGGTAGTATATTCTAAGTGGAGATATATTTGCAAATTTATTTCAAAGATTAACTTGAATTTTCCCATAAATAAATAATTTTTTTTTTTTTTTGCCAATGATGAGATGCCAACTCATAGCATAAAAAAGTTGTTCAAATTTTAAAAATGAATGTTACCCCCTCAATTTCAGAATGATGTTTCTGTTTCGTAAATCGATACAAATTTTTACCTATATTTGACCGCAAATATCTTTAATCTCACACGAGCAAAAATTATAAAAGTTAGAGTATTAATAATCTACTCACCAAGACGAATCAAACTAGATCCCACGTGACTATATTTGTTCTTATAGATTAATAGAATTTAGAAAAAAAAATCCAAACAAGAACATCATTGTGAAACTGAGGGAGTAATATTTTTTTAGGAGAGTAAACGGATCTAAAAATGAGTTTAAGGATAATCCAATAATGTATTAAATTTGAGAAAGTTTGGTATGAGTATAAATAATAATAATAAAAAAGTATAAAGTTAGTAGAAAGTTTACATGAGAGTCTTGTGTATGAGTCAGAAACTTACCATAACCAGATTATAGATTATATTAGTGTGTGATATTAGATAATCTAAGTTGATCTTATTAATTGCGTGACAAAGATATTGCACGATTTTAAAACTTATATTACTTGCATTATGTATTTTTTGCTATTTTGAATTACTGATTGTAAGGATTAAAATATTTCAAAGTTACAAAAAAATATGAAATGAAGTTAGTATAACTTTTGATCCGTAATTCTAAATAAAGCATATAATACATCGTTTTAAAGACATTCAAATCTACTAAGGCCCTGTTTGATTCACCTTAATTTTGCTGAACTGAAATTATTTTTACTGAACTGAACTTAATTTTACTGAACTGAAATTATTTTTACTGGATTTTAATTATTTTTATTGAACTGAAATTATTTTTACTGATTTTCTATTATAATTCTTGTTTAAGAAAACTGAATTTTACTGAACTGAACTTATTTTTACTGAACCGAGATTAATTTTACTGAACTGAACTTAACTTAACTTATTCTTGCTGAAGTGAAATTATTTTTACTTAATATTATTTTTTTAAGGTGAAGAGAACAGGGCCTAAGTTAAATTGTATGATATCCACAAGTTAATTTATCTGCTCAGTATATATAGGAAGTTGTTGGGCATTTGCACCAGTTGCAGCAGTGGAGGGACTACACCAAATTAAAACCGGAAACCTGATCTCACTCTCCGAGCAGGAGCTTCTAGATTGCGTTGAAAACGACCATTGTGACGGTGGCATTATGACAGATTCCTACGATTTCATACACAAAAACCACGGCATACTAACAGAAGAGGAGTACCCGTACAATGCTACCACCGGCCAGTGCAAGACGAAGACACTAGAAGGCGAAAGAGTAAGAATCAAGGGATTCGAGTACGTGCCTTCCAACAATGAGGACGCTTTGTTGAAAGCCGTAACAAAACAACCCGTGGTCGTACGAGTCGATAGTAGTAGATTTGAACACTACAAAACAGGGATCTACAATGGAGAGTGTGGCACTGAATTGGATCATGAAGTTACTCTGATTGGATATGGATCAGAACTGAAAATGGTAACAATTATTGGTTGGTGAAGAATTCATGGGGAACAAGTTGGGGTGAACAAGGTTTTATGAGGATAATTAGGGATGTGAATATGTGTGGTCTTGCTATTCAACCTTCTTATCCCATATAAAATACATATATAATGTTTGGGTCCAATTTAGTCCAATTGGGCCTAGACATTAAATGATCCAATTAAAAGCCCAAGGTCAAGGTTCAACTCTCCAATTGTGCTAAAGTCAAAGGTCAGCCCTCAAAGCAAGCCAATTGGGCTAAGGCCCAACTTCTCCATGTATGAAGAGGTATAAAAGCCATCAATATTCATATATTCACATTCATTCATAGATTCATATATTCTGATATACTCTCATATATTCTCATATATATTCTCATATACTCAAGAAAAGCCTCAAGCAACAAATTCTCTTGCATAGTGTTCTCTTTCTACACATTGTACTGACTTTAGCATCGGAGGGGCCTTCCTCGGCAACACCCCCGAGGCTAGTTTGTGTGTGTTTACTGTGCAGGAAACCTTCGGCCCGACATAACTTGGACCGAATCCAGTCTTCTCCGTTTCAGCGGACCTTTGGCAAGGTCCCATTGTTTTCACCCGAAACAATTTGGCGCCGTCTGTGGGGAAGACTTTCAAAAATCTTTAAGCAAAATTTCTAACCAAGATCATCTTGCAATACTCTTAGTAGCAATGGCTAAGAACCGCAAGAGCAAGGGCCTCCGTCAAGGAGCGGGCGAAAAGCCTAAAACCCCTACACCATCACCCTCGCCGGACCGGAACTCTCCCAAGGGTGCCAGCTCGGGGGGAGGATCATACAAGGAGGATTCCCTTTCTCCCGTAATTCATGACTCTCATCATAGGCCGAGTCACTCTCGGTCTAGCAGGGGTGAGTCCGATCATAGGACACATTCAGTGCCCCAAAGCCAACCATCGGTTGTGCGCCCTCATTCCCATACTCGGCCGAGGACCCCTTTGACGGGGCCCAGCTCGAAAGAGGTGGCAAGAGCGCTGGCAGTACTCATGGAGGCGATGAGGGCACAAAATATGCCACCACCTCGTGATCGAACTCCTCCGCATACCCGGCATCAGCGGAGGAAGTTAGACCATGATGGTGGGAAGCTTCCTTCCTTCCGGGAACTGGAAGAGTGGGAAGAGGATACCTGGAAGAATGAAAAAGAGAGGAAAAAAGAACCCTCAATTTTTAAAAGGATCCTCATCCTCACGACCAGAAATGCATAAGAGCAGCAGCTCAGCTTCTCGGCCAGAATCTACTCACCGAGAACCTGAGACTGTTCGCCGAAGCGTCCTCGACCGACTCGGCGGCAAGGAACCGAGCGTGCGCAGTCGCCTCTCGTTCCCTGCAGCCGAGGCCCAGACTTCCCAGCCAGGGACGAAAACCACTCCTACCTCTCTAAGAGGGCGGAGCGCGGTCCCTTCGGCCAGGAACAAGGGCAAGGCCGTTATGCTACCCGCCAGTTTACCATTCGAGCAATGGATACTGGAAGAGCGCGTGCCCACGGTTAAAATACCGTCGCACATCACATATGACGGGACCTCGGATCCGAAGGATCACGTGGCCTCGTATGAGACTCATATGCATCTTTGCCCCAGATCCGAAGCGACTTGGTGCAAATATTTCCCAACCACTCTCAAAGGGGTCGCGCAAGCGTGGATCTCCAAGGGAGTAAAGCAAGGCTCCATAACAGGGTGGGATGATCTGTCCTCCAAATTCAGGAGCAAGTTTTCCACGGCAAACCGCCGAGAGAAGACTACTGCAGAACTCATGAGTCTACAACAGGGGGAAACCGAAAGCCTCCGAGACTATCTGACCCGTTTCAGTAACGAGTCATCCAGCGTCTCTCAGCTGGACCAGGGGCTAGCCGTTTTTGCGATGCAGAATGGCCTTCAGCCCGGAAAGTTCCTAGACTTCATGGTCATGCATACCCCGCAGACCTTGGAGGAAGCTCTGAATGCCTCAGATAAGTTCATCCGAGCCGAAGAATGGAACAAAGCGAAAACCCAACCTCAATTTGGGGAAGGGAAACAAAGACAAATACCCTTGTCTGAAGGCCAAGGCCATAAGGCAAAGGGAAAGTCAAAGGCCTCGGAGCAATCTTCGGCCAGCGACCCAAAGAAGGAAAGATCTGCCTCATACACAGGCAGATACGAGTCCTACACTCCGCTCTCTCTTCCACGCGCCAAAATTTACAGCGTGACGAAGGAGCAGGAGAGTTACCGAAAGCCGAGACCACTCCCAGAGTGGTATCAGCGAAAAAATAAAAATCAGTGGTGCGAGTTCCACGAGTCTTCGGGACACAACACTGAGGAGTGTATCCAACTGAAGGATCAGATAGAGGACATGGTCCGGAAGGGTTACTTGAAAAAATACATCGCGGATCACCGCGAGAAAAAAGAATCCGAGAAGTCAGCAAAGGACTCTCGGCAAGACCTCGACTTCCCCCGGAAGAATAGTAAAAAGACGGAGGGGAAATTCCCTCCGATCAAGGTTATCTCGGGAGGAATATACTCTCGAAGGGAGCACAAGCGACACCTTAGAGATTTGACTCACCAGGTGAACAACGCTGACATTCGATCTCCCCAGTCGCCGGTGCCGAACATGACGTTCACAGCCGCCGACTGCCGGGGGATTACGTTCCCTCACGAGGATCCGTTGGTGATCATCGCCACGGTGGCCAACCACGACGTCAGTAAGGTCCTTGTTGACGGTGGCATCGGAGCAAACATTCTGTTCCGAAAGGCCTACAATCAAATCAAGGTGAAGCCCAAGCACCTTACGCCGGTACCCTACCCGGTATCCGGGTTCAACGGGGCTTCAACTTATCCAGATGGGAAGGTGACACTTCCTGTCACCATCGGCTGCGATGAGGCAGCCAGGAACGTCATGATTGAATTTTTGGTCATTGACGCTCCTTCAGTGTACAACGTGATTTTGGGGAGACCCATATTTCATGAGATCCAAGGGGTCGTCTCAACTTATCATCAGCTGATGATTTACGTCTCAGACGCCGGCTTCCCCGAAAGGATACAGGGCAACCAAAAGGACGCCCGAAGGTGCAACTACCTCAAGCCATCCAGTAGTCGCCCAGATGACGACAAGGATGAGGAGGAGAAAGAAAAAGAAAGAGAGCCAAGCACAAAAAAGCCGAAAGGCCTAAATGCTTCGGCCCAAGGATCTGTACCCAGAGGTAAAGGGCCCGAAAGGGAAAAGGCTAGCTCTTCAGCTGAGCCGCAAGACTCAGAGAGCCAGCCGAAGAACAAAAAGACTGGGACACCTGCTGACATTGGCAGCAGGCCAGATTATGAAGAGTCTAGTCCATCAGCAATGGACATGGACCAGTAGACTGAAACAGTTGAGTTGGCCGAAGGAGACGTTGAGAAATGTGTAACAATCGGGATGGACCTTGATCCGAACACCCGTTGTGAACTTATTCAGCTCCTTCGGGACAACAGAGATGTGTTTGCTTTCTCGGCAGCTAATATGCCCGGGATAAGTTCAGACCTCATCTCCCATAAGCTTAATGTTGACCCAACGTGTCGACCAGTTAAGCAAAAGAAGCGGAATTACTCCGCCAATAAGAACCGAGACATCGCAGCCGAGGTCAAAAAATTGCTGGAAGTAGGATTCATCGAACCTTGCCATTATCCAGAATGGCTGGCAAATGTGGTGATGGTTCAGAAGCCCAATGGTACCTGGAGGATGTGCGTTGACTTCACGGACCTAAATAAGGCTTTTTCGAAGGATTTCTATCCCTTGCCGAGGATCGATCAGCTAGTCGATTCGACAAGTGGCCATGCCTTGCTTAGTTTCATGGACGCATTCTCGGGGTATCATCAGATCTTCATGCACCCCGACGATCGAGCAAAGACAGCATTCGTCACGAACGCTGGGGTGTACAATTACAAAATGATGCCCTTCGGATTGAAAAATGCGGGGGCAACCTATCAAAGGCTGGTGGATCAAGTTTTTGCCGATCAAAAGGGTCGAAACATGGAAGTCTATGTTGACGATTCGATCGTCAAAAGCAAAAAACCAGAGGACCATGTAAAGGACCTGGCTGAAACTTTCGCCACCTTGAGAAAGCATCAAATGAAGCTGAATCCGAAGAAGTGTGTCTTCGGCGTGAAGTCAGGGAAATTCCTTGGGTTCATAGTCAGCAAAAGGGGGATTGATGCCAATCCCTCTAAAGTCAAAGCGGCGCTCGACCTTCCTGAGCCGAAAACGAAGCGGGATGTTCAGCGGCTCACCGGAAGAATGGCAGCCCTCTCGAGGTTCATTTCCAGAGCTTCGGATAAGGGGTTACCTTTCTTCAAAGCCCTGAAACTCCCAAAAACAAAAGAGCTCGTTTGGGAGGAAGAGCAAAAAGACGCCTTTAAACAGCTTCGGGAGCATCTGGCTCAACTCCCAACGCTGGCTAGCCCAGCTGAAGGAGAAACTTTGTACCTATATGTGGCCGTTAGCCCAGCCACCATCAGCGCAGTATTGCTGAAGGAAGAAAGTAAAAGTCAGCAGCCGATCTATTTTGTCAGTCATACACTGACGGATGCCGAGACTCGCTATCCTCTACTCGAGAAAGTCGCTTTCGCGGTAGTAGTAGCTGCTCGGAAGCTGAGGCCCTATTTTGATTGCCATCAGATAGTGGTCTTAACTGATCAGCCGTTGGAAAAAGTTCTCGGCAAGGTTGAAAAATCTGGTAGGCTAGCCAAGTGGGCTTTTGAGCTCACCGAATTCAGCATCAGCTACCGTCCGAGGGCTGCCATTAAGGCTCAAGCTCTAGCGGATTTCTTGGCCGAATGCTCATACCAAGAAGCGCTAGACAGTGAAAAGAAAGTCTGGACCGTGTTTACGGATGGATCTTCCACCGAAAACGGTTCGGGGGCAGGAGTGGTGATAACTTCTCCCGAAGGCAAATCCTTTGAGTATGCACTAAAATTTTCTTTTAAGGCCTCGAACAATGAAGCCGAATATGAGGCAGCAATCGCCGGCCTAGAATTGTGCATCTCCCTGGAAGCCGATCATGTCTGCCTGAAAACAGACTCTCAGCTAGTTGCATATCAGATCAGCGGCAGCTACGAGGCCAAAGAGCCCTCCATGATAGCTTAT